AAAAAAAAAAAAAAAAAAAAGCTGTGCAATCTGTGCTACATGTTACTACAAAAGTAAAAAAGTTGGCCCTGCATGCCTATAATCCCAGCACTCTGGAAGGCCAAGGTGGGTGAACTGTTTGAGCTCAGAAGTTTGAGACCAGCCTGACCAAGAGCAACACACCATCTTCACTAAAAAAACAAACAACAACAAAAAAAAACTAGCCGGGTGTTGTGGCTGGTGTCTGTGGTCCCAGCTACTCAGGAGGCTAAGGCAAGAGAATCACTTGAGCTCAGGAGTTTGAGGTACTGTGAGCTATGACACCACAATGCTTTACCCAGAACAAGAATGAGATTCTGTCTTTAAAAAAAAAAGAACAACACAGAAGAAACTTAAAATGTTTATCAAATAAAAAAAGTTATAATAAGCTAAGGGTAATTTATTACTGAAGAAAAATATTTTTTACGAATTCAGTGCAACGCAGGGACACCGTGTAACATTTGCAGTAATGCACAGGAGTGCTCATGGCCTCCACATCACTCCCCACCAGCTGGATGACTCAGCAGAGCAGCTTCCCGGCCTGCCAAGTGCCCCACACCCATGTGCCACCATTCACCTCCAGCACTGTGCCTCTTGCATGCTTAGATGTGTTTACTTACACAAGCACTGCTATTTCACAGCTGCCCAGTGATGAGCACAGTGGCTGCTGTGTTTCCCAGAGCATATCTCTGTGGTCAAACAGAGCGTGCCTATGCCACCTCCACCACCCGCTTCACTGCCCACATGCCTGTCTTCCTGTTTTCCTTCCTCCTCCTAGCACATACCACCCACACAAGGACTCAGAGCAGGGCCTGGTAACAGGGTACTTGAGACGTGCCTATTTAAGGCCTGGATTCTCCTCTGCTATGTCTTCCCCGTCACTGATTCTCCAAGGAAGAACACCAGTTCCATTTGGGAAACTGCACCACCGAGCAGAGCCATATGAATCACACACGCCTCACCTCACACCTCAGCCCAGCACTCAGTCCACTGGCAACCAGGCCACACTGGACCCCAACATACCACCACCCACATCCCTGCCCCCTCTTCACTGTGCCCTCCCCAGCCCACACCCCACTCCCAGGCACGCCCAGCCCCCTCTGCCTTGCTTGCATTTTTTTCTGTCTCTTGTTTTCTTCCTCTGGAACACAGTGTGGGCAGGTGATCCTTGAAAGCAGAGATACCCAACTTCTACCCATAAAACCTAAGTCAAGTGTCCTCAAACTGTAGCCTGCAGGCCACATGAGGCCCGCCAGTGTTTGTGCTGCTGCTGCCTGTCCTGCTTAGCAGCTGACTTGTCCCGGGGTCTACAGTCCGGCCCTCCAACAGTCTGAGGGACAGTGAACTGGCCCCCTGTTTAAAAAGTTTGAGGACCCCTAACCTAAGTATAGGAATTATGTTTCTCCTATGATTTAACATGCACAGAACCATGCCACTGTTTTATTGGGTTTCTACCTTTTTTTAATGTGTCACTAATGAAATTTTCTAATGTTAGGCCCCATTTCCTCGTGGCCTTTCTAGTTCTTGTCAGCAATGCTGCAAAGTGCAGTGACCACTGGCAATGCCCATGTTGGATCACAGCAGAACTGTTTCTGGTAAGACCCGCCAAACAAGCCTCAAACTAAGTGATACGCAACCCTACATACCTCCACTTCACATTTCAGTAAGCCACATGGTGACTAGGTTCTGAGCTAAAGTGTAATGTGATAATAAAGCTTATTTCTGATAAACTGAAGTAGACGCCTCAGTAGGATGAAGACTGACTCAGTGTTCTCCCAAGACATGTGCTGGCTGCCAGGCGGCACCACAGAGACTCTGCAGCACACAACAGGCAGCAGGAAACAAGGCACCTAGGAAGGGGCATTTGTCACCAGGAGCCACCAGTGTGATTTTTGAGATGCTACTTTTGCTTTCTGATCTCAATTAGTATTAACTTAGCTTCATTATCAATTTAGTTTGCTGTAATTTAACACTATGACATGCTGTTTGCAACAACCTTTAGACTTTATAATATGTATTTTTTTTTTTTTTTTTTGCAGTTTTTGGCCGGGACCAGGTTCGAACCCACCACCTCTGGTATATGGGGCCGGCACCCTTACTCCTTTGAGCCACAGGTGTCGCCCTAGACTTTACAATATGTATTACTGGACTTCTAATATAAGTCATATCCACTCCCACTGCTAAAGCAAACATTTACATACCTAAATAATTTGCTCTTACGAACACTTGTGTGGTGATGTGGTACCTGAGAACTTGTGCTGGTTTTCTTTCTTTCTGAGATGGGGTCTCACCGTCGCCCAGGCTGGAGTGCAAAGGTACCATCACAGCTCACTGCAGCCTAGAATTCTGCACTTAGGGATTCTCCCGCCTCAGCCTCCCAAGTACCTGGGACCACAGGCAGGAGCCACTGCACCCAGACTATGCAGTCTTGTTTTTAAGACTACGAGAGATTGGCTCGGCGCCTATAGCTCAACCGGCTAAGGCACCAGCCACGTACACCTAAGGTGGCGGGTTCGAATCCCCAGCCCGGACC